CTCCGCCGGCTCTCCTCATCCCCGCCGGCGATGCCTCCTCCTTCTCCCCATCCCCGCCGGCTTCTTCTCATCCCTTTCGTCCATCTCCTCCGATTCCCATCCTGTAGCAACAAGTATATTTTTTTCACTTTTTTTCAACAATTTTTTGAACATTTTTTGTTGTTAACAATTTGTACAATAGTCAATACTCCCTCTGTCCGGAATTAAACTTACCATTTGGACTTTTTCTCATTTTTATGAAGTGTTGACTTTAGGATAGAAAAGTCTAAAATACCCTTCCCCCAATTGTCCCCTCCCACTACCCCTGCCATTTGCACCCACCATTTTCGTAGATCCCACTGCTACCGTAGATCCAAAACCACCGTTGACCCCCCAAAATCGCCATAGCCCCACCACCACCTCAGCCCCTAGGTCTTCCCAAACCTTACAGATTCAGAAGACAAACAAATATGAGAAAAAGGGGAATAAGAAGAGGAAAAAAGAAGATGGATTGATTTGGAGAAAGAAAAGAGGGATGAGAAAGAATGGGGGGGAAGAAAAAGAAGAAGAAGAAAGAGGTACGGATCTGGACGGAAAAAGGCGGACGAGAAAGAACGCATGGGAGAAGGAGGAGGAGGAGGAGAAGAAGAAGGAATAGATCTGGAGAAAAAACAAGGATGAGAAAGAACTGGGTAAGATGAAGAAGAAGATGAAGAAGAAGAAGAATTGAAGAAGAAGAAGAGGAATGAAAAGATCTGGAGGAACAATTGTGGAGAGAAGAAAAAGAGAAGAGAAAGGAAAGAGAGGAGTGAGGCGAGGAAGGCAGGAGAGAGAAAGGGGGAGGGGAGAGATAGGGTGAGTATTTGTAAGTGGGGGTATATTGGGTAGTTAGTGTATAAAAAATTAAATGAGAAGATTATTTCCGGACGGAGAAAAATGAGAAATGGGAAGATTATTTCCGGATGGAGGGAGTATTTTTTTTTACATTTTTTTACATTCTCATCCTTGCCGACAACAATTTGTACAGTTTTTTTACAATAGTCAACAATTTGTTGTTAATTGTTGTTAAAGATTGTTGTACTAGTTCAATTCCCGAGCACTTAATGCAAAGTGCGGAATAAATTATTTGAAAAATTATCGAGCACTTAATGCAAAGTGCGGAAAAAATTATTCGAAAAATTGTAATTTTTAATTTTAAAAAATGTTATTGTTATTTTTTTTAGTGTTGTAGAACTCTTGATTAAATTTAAATGTTTAAAAAAATATTGATTGCTTTAAAAATCTGTTTATTTTTAATTTCAATTTATTTAAGCAATTTGCAGAAGTTAAAAAACGAACAGTCTTCCTCTTGTAGACTGCAGACCTTTGGCCCACCTCTTCTCGTGCAGATGTGTGCAGATGTGATCTGCAGAATGAAAATTAAACTATAATATTAAATAGAAGATAATTCGAAAATAAAATTTATAAGAGAAAGTAAAATTATAGAGAGTACTTGGGTAATTTACCTAAATAGGATTAAAACATAATGACTTTCCCAGTATATGACAATATGTTTTTATTTCCTAATTTAGGACCATTGGTCATTATCTATTACTCATTATTCAACTAAATGTCTAACATCACTTGGACATTATTTTTCTCACTAGACATTATTAAGTCCTATTTAGAGAATAAAAAAGTTTAAGTCCTACATTGGAAAATGACTTATGTTTTAGTCCTTTCACTTGAAAAAACGGGGGCGCTACCCTCGAACTTTCGTACTACTCTTGCCCCCAGTCGCTCCAAATTCTGGATCCGCCACTGTATGTTGACTGTCATATGTTGACTGGATTACTTTTTATTCGTTGAAATATGCCACGTCAACGCGTGACATTCTATTTTTATACTTCTCTTATATTGGTTGAATCCAAATTTTTTAATGTTACTCCGTATATGAACAATTTTGCTCTTAAAAGTTGGTTTGGATCATGTACTTGAGTTTAGATCTAATGCAATATGGATTCTACAATATCAAACTAAAGGCATAAAACACATCAACTTTGCATGAACCATAGTCACCATACATATGGAACCACTCTGATTAAATGCATGTTAATGCGCTATACGTTACTGTCAATTTGCATTAAGTGAGTCATAATTTACATCATTTAATTAAATCGATCTAAACCAACCAACACATACGAAGGGAGTATTGCTAACCCTCCAAAAAATTGTTTGTATGCAGTATGATTAAACCCAAAGTTCATGTAAGAGCATCAATGACAAGTAAAGATATAAAATGTTGTTACAATTTTTGTACGGATTACAACGGACGGGGAAGATGAACGGCCCCGATAATAAAAATAAATAAAATTCTGAATTTATAATTTATTCAAAATATTACAAAAAAAACAAAGTTGAGAAAAATTGCTATATCTTCAAACGGCCTTGTTGTACGAGGACATTAAGGACTGGACAGTGAGGACGTTAAGCACTGGACAGCGAGGTCTTTAAGCACTGGGCAGCGAGGTCTTTAAGCACTGGACAGCAAGCAAAGGACGTTATGCACATGGCTGCGAGGACATTATGCACTAGAACAGAATGCAGCGAGGTCTTTATGAACTGAACCTGCAAAAACACAACACCGTGGAAGGACAGCGGAGTCGCCGGAGCTGTCCTTAAGGTAGTAGTGCCCGCCTACCGTACCGGAAAAACGTGGGCACTCTCCTCCCAGGATAAAACCGCTATCGTGTTTGGAGATTGTACGGACCAACCACACACCAACGAACAAGAACAACGTAGGAACGTTGACGACCAAAAACTTTAAAGGGGTTGCCGGAAAAATTGGCCGGAAAATCAAGAGCTCTATCTAAAAGAAAATAATAAAGTGTTTTCTCTTTTTTTCCTCTCTTCCTCACGCAAGGCACACACAAAACAAATGAGAGAGCCTTTGATTTTTATAATAAAGGAGTTTAAAAAGTTGTAACTCCTACACCATTAACCCATTGAATTAATCATGGCATTAGTGGTGTGTTAATGGTGATTAATTAGCCATTAACACGTCCGTTACGCTACGCTCCGTTTAAAATTTGTCCCGAATAATTGGAGATTAATGGCCAGTTAACTCCGTAAAAATGGACTAATTTTAAACAATACGTAAAATTAATAAAAGAAGATTGGTTCAGTAATATTGCAAAAATTGCATTCCTCACCATATTCTATTTATTAACGGGTTAATTCTGAGAATCAATTTCTCATTCACCCTCTACCATTTTTGGCGTATAAATTGTCAAAACATTTATCTCATTTAAGAGAACACACGTCCATTAATAAACGGTTAAAACCGTTAGTGGACCTGTTGACAAATATACCCAAATTGGTCCATTTAATGCCAATTAAAATGCCAAAAATTCCAACAAATGTGACACAGTGGCGTGAAACATTTCAACCAATCATGTTGACCGGAAGCACCATCATTGGAAGACCTGGGATGCTAAGACTTGGCGTAACGTATAGCCCGGAGCAGTGTCTATTCATAAGGCTTCGAGGGCTGTGTAGCCTTGTCAGTATGAAGCGGACCTTTTGCCAACACCGCTGTGAACGTAACATTGCAAACCGCGCCTTCCACTCGCAGTGTTTCCTTCCTCAAGCGGGACAAGAACGCCTTGTTGGTTTCTCCTAGCTAGCTTCTGCTTCATCGACGCCAAATGCGTGTAATGCTTCTTGGGCCAGAAGGAGAGTCTTAAGATTCTCTTGTCTATATTTCATCATTGTGACAGACAAAAAGTGGAGAAAGTCTGGAATGGAGTCTTTAAATTCTTAAACTCATTTACAAGACTTCTACCAACACAACACGAACAAAAATAAGACACATGTATTCAATTGCAATTATTTGATAATGATAAAAATTAGCTACAATTGTTTTGTAAAAAAACCCTAAAAAGAAATAAACAAAAAATGTTAAAAACCCAAAACAATTGTTGTGTCTTTATGTTTAATTTATGCAATTTACATTTTATGTGGGTAGTTGTGTAATTTTAGTGATTGTACTCATTTTACTTTATATAATTAATTTCATCAAATTTTAATAAATACTCTGTAATATTTAGTGTTGTTGATTTATTTAATGGTTAGTTATATTCATAAATCAAATTTTGTAGAAAAATCAATGTATTGTACAATTATATACTATATAATTGATTTAATGCAAGAGTAGTTTTTTAAAAAGTATAGGAGAGTCTAAAACAAGAGTTTGATACAGTCTTACAAGGGATGCCCCAAGAGCATCTCCAAGCTTAATTGCTATATGAACTTGCTATTTTTACATGATAGCAAATAAATAGTGATAACATATAATTTTTTGTTCCATTTTCTAACTATAACTTGTAATTTTATTTTTTTTAACTATAAACTTGTTATAATTTGAGTATCTTGTTACATTTAACAAGTTAAAGTCATTTTTTGGCAAACTTGCTAAAATATAACACACCCTTTGGAGAACAAAATAGCTTGGCTTTTATATTATAACCCTTCGTCCCAAATGTGATTGCGAATTGGAATTCACGAGGTAAAACTCATATCTTATGAAATTATTTTATTCATAAATTGTTATATCAATAAAATAAAAATAAAAATTATATATGAAAAAGATATGTCAAAAGTTTTACAAAATAAGAAATGACAAGATTATTTTTCATCAAATAATCAATGAATATACACAATTAAATAAAAATTATAGAAAGTTGAACAAAAAAGATTAATTAAGAGTAACTTTTAACAAGTCTATACTCCATATTTGTGAGAAGGTGAGACGGTGAGAGTAAAATTTATTCCTTACTGATGATCCAAAACAGTAAATGAGTAAATCTAAGATACAGTAGTGGGGGGATAATGAATAGACATGAAATGTTGACAATCCCATGTCTCTTCCTACGTAAGTTATTCTCTCCAATCCTCCGATTCTCTCTCTCTCTCTTCTCTCTCTCCCCTTTATGCTCCTGAAAGAGGAGGAAATGGCCCCCAGCGGATCCACAAAACGCCAAAATCCCTTTTGAGCTTTTGCCTCTTTACTTGCAAATGGACGAAAATCCAAGCATCCGTTTCTTGCTTGTCCTCTGCAATTATCACAAGAATCTTCATCTCCTCCTGCCCATTTCTGCTCTGCACTGTCCTCCTCTTCCTCAGTAGTGGGTTCCTCTTGATTTCTTTTTCGATTTTCAAGTCTGGGCTTCTCCTATTTCCTCGAAAGATCTCATCTTTTTGTTCATTCACAGGTTCTAATCCCAATGGCTTGCTTTCTTGAATTGTTTTGTTGCTCATAAATGTTTTGCATCTTCTTATCGCAGTACGAGATTTGCATCTGAAACTGTTTAGGAGTGGATCTATGTGTTCTTCTTTTTGTGCGATTAGATGCTTCACAGTGTTTTTCTTTTTCCTCCTTTTCTGGATCTTTTGGAATCTAATTTGTGTGGTTTCTATTCTTCACCACAGTACTTACTTTTCGTGAAGTGTTTGTTTTTTTTCCCTTTCTATTTTATAATTTCGGGAATAAGAGGTGATTCTGTCTATACTGCTTCTCTGGTTCAGAAATCAGAATATTTCTTGATTATGGAATTTCCTTAAATAGTCTTAAACAATATGCCATCCAAGTAAACTCACTTGTTGAACATTACCAGAACAGTGTAAAATTCCAGGATAAAAAATGTTTGATTCTTTCATGTTTCTTCTGAAATTTAAATTCGCAATCCTTGAAATGTTGCAGGCTCTTTTTTGTCCATGTTATTCAACTAATATTACTCCGTATTTTTTTCTCAGTCACAATAAAAGAGCCATATGTTTTGTGTGCACTTATAGGAAACCATCAATTATAGCTCGATCTTAAATTTGTTTGATAGTTTTACTAAATCTAGCATATTTAACTTGTTTGACATGCATTTTTAAGATCAAGAAATGTTAGATACAATGAAAATTAGTAATTTGTTCAAATGTGATTCTTTTTTGGCAATAAGAAGTCTCCAAATCGGACGACTCTTATTTGGGACGGGGAGAGCATATATTTTTCTTGCACGCGGGGTGCTTAGCCGGGCATGTTCTTAGAACAAAGATTGTCCCTTTTGATTATCACCGAGTGTAAAAATCATTTATTCAAGAACTGTTCATGTTTGCGCTTCCCATTGCGAACACTGTAGTTTGCTCCTGGTGAAGCATATACTGTATAATATTCTTCTTCTTCACCTGTCTCACTCTCGCAATGCCATTGCAGGAAAGAAACATATGATGCAGTGTAGAAGCGATAATGGAGGACACTACGACCCAAGATATCTTAATGCGGGCATTATTGGCCTTCCAGGCCCAATAACACAGGGTGATATCACACAGAGCGGCGGGCTTAGGTTTAATCTGTGGTTTCCTCCATCTAATATGGACTACTACAATGTAGGTTATCAGAAGGAAATATATAGACAGATGATGCTAAAGCACGAAGCAACATTCAAATACCAGGTAATAAGCCCTTTTAGGCAGCCTCTCTGCTTTCAGGTAGCTAGGGATAAGGTCTTCACGTGCGCACACACACCTACCCAGACCCTACTTTTGTGGTATTCTACTAGGTTTTTTGTTTGTTGTTATTTATTGTTGTTGTTGTTGTTGTTTTGTAGGCCTTATTCTTTAATTTCAAATTTTTCTTGATTATTAGGTCTATGAGCTACATCGTGTGTATGGAAGACAAAAGGAGTTGATGGAGGAGATTAGAAAGAGAGAAATGTTGAATCAAAATTTAAAAGCATATCCCTTTTCTGGAATAAGGTCCGACTACTTCTTGCCTTCTGGTGGTAATCACACCACCCAAACTAAGCCATATGCACCAAGTGCTCATTTGTTCCAAGAACCTTACTTTCCACAATCACATCCCGGCCATTATCCGGCAAAAGATGTTACTATAAGAGAACACGAACTGTCAGCATCTCACATCAACACGCCCCGGAAGAGAAAGCTGGATCTTGAACTTCCTGCTTATGAGTACATTGATAGTGATGATGAAAATGCCTTTCAGGAACCTCAGATGCCCAAACCAGAACAGCCATTTGATTCAAAAATTGAATCTTTCTCCTCTGGAAATGCCAAAGTCTTGTTTGACTTGAATTCACCTGCGCAAGCAGATGAATCAGGCGCTGGGCAAGATCCTCCTGCAAGCTTTACAGTTTCAGATAGAAGAAATCTACCAAAAGTTGTTGACTTGAATATGCTTCCTGCGGACTTTTCATCAAATGAAGAATGTTCGGGCCATACCCATATTTGTAATGAAAAGTCCATGATCAACTTGAATTCCTGCTTAGACGAAGAGCGTATATTACTCTTACCACCCCCTCCTGATCAAAGTGACACAAATGATCCTGCAAGACAAAGTGGTTTAGAAGCACCTGTTAGCCCGGAAAATAAAGAGTGCTCTCCACCCAGAGGAGATTCTGAGGATAACCAACTTGAAGCTGGGATCCAGGAAGAAGAAGAACAAGAAGACAGGGTCGCAGCTGATACACTATTTGTTCTTGCATCATCCGGAAACCAAAGGTGCTCAACGACGACAGTCACTGAGCAAAACGAAACCTTCAATGAAAGCCTTGTTTGGTTTGCAGGAATTGCAACTTCGACTCGAAGTGGTGGCGGGAGAGGGAGTAGGAATAGGAGCTCCAAGGCATTGGAGAGGACAGTGTGCTTGGCTGTTTGGGGGAAGACAAAAAAGCGCAAAATCGCCCGAGTTGCTCGATCTGTTGTTTATTCTCATCTTTAGCTCAATTCTTTCGAAAATAGCTGAATTTCCCAACAAATTATATTCCCTATCTCATTATCCTTAATTATTGTGATTGGATGAACGATCAAAGGAGGTGGGGAAATTGTGAAAAGCCAAGTTAGTGTGAAGAAAAATGTTATGATGTGTTTGGTATTTTAACCATAAGGAAAACTTTCTTTTTCTCTTCTCTATTTTTTTACTCACTCCATCCTAAAGTTATGTGTTTGGTATTCTTTTACTCACTCCGTAGCCAATGTAGGTAAATTATAACCCAGACCTAAGGTCCATATAAGAAATATGGATCTTTTGATAAAAATAATACAGAGTAAAATATTATACTCCGTAGTATAAAGATATGCATTTGTTTCTTTATTTTTATTATATTATTTTGCTTATACTAGAATATCCATGGTGGATTTTAGGTCCAACAGAATAGCAACCAGCTATGTAAAGAAAATTAAACATTTTCAAAATATAAAAAAAATTGAGCATGTAAATTGTTGGATCAAGTATATCCTTGGTGGCACTTACTAGGAAGCCACATTATGTGGATTGTGCATGGACAAATTTTAGTGATGTTATATGATGACTTGGACCATGCACTATCATAAAGCAAAACTTTAGGACCCATTACCATTAGTATGAATAATGCTTGACATAGTAAACTTTAACATCAAACATTTGACATTAGTGTTAGGCATGAAAGTGGTACACATGATATAAATGTTAAATAAACATAAATTTCAACCAAAGTAGCTATGATGAAGGGAAATATCATACTAACAAAATGGAGTTTTATATATACAAATTTGGTGTATACATACCCCAAACCCTTGACAATGTTTTACTCATAATAAAAAGCTAACTTTTAATTTTTTTTGAATGCTTATTTGTGATATAAGAGACTATTTTTTTCACATAAAAATAACTATCAGATTTAAATACCAAATAAATCAAAACTTTCTATGATAAACTTAAAATATTAAAAATATAATTGGTCGAAATATGTGTTCTAAGGCTTTCCGAAGATCGAAAATTTAATTTGGCTACCATCACTACCATTGCTAGACCGTCAAAACCCATAAAATCATACCTAAATTCTTCGATTCTTTAATTTGACCACTCATCATGTTTAACTTTTTTTTTTAATTTGGTGAATTTCGTATTCAATATTATTGATTTGCTCCAAATGCTTCCCACTTTATTTGGTGTAATAAAACACCTAACATGTGAATAAGAATAACCTTTGCTACAAAATCGCTTCTCCTCACGTATGCATCTCCTAATACACCGCACATATTATTATAGTTATATGTAGTATTATACACGGATTATCTTTTTATATAATCAAATAAAACACACATTGTATAATTACTCCCAATATTAAAACACATTTCCGAGCAATCAAATAATTGTCTCAACATATTTGTTAACATCTTTCTACTCATCAAGGTAAAGATTACAAGATCTTTTTTTTTTTGGAAAAAGAGTGAAATTAAAGAATGTCTCTTTTATTTAATTTGATTTCTTATTTTGACATAGTGCATTTGATGAAGGGAATGCTTAATGCCAATATGTTACGATCATTTTTGGGTTTCTTGCTTTCAGGAGGACAATGTTGAATCTTAGCATTCTTATTATATTGATGTTTTCCAAATTGGATTGGCTAGTTGATCAAATGATTTAGGGATAAAATCTACGTACACGACCCTATTTGCGACATCTGCAATGGCAAAAGAAGTTTTTGACGACATTCGGGCCAACCTGGAGAGAACCAAGCCGAGACTCGGTTCCAGGAGTAGTAGTGATTCAAAGGGGTACACAAACACCAAACTCGGGAGGGTCTTGCCACGGTATCTCTCCCCACCATTGTCGTCGTGTCACGAAAGCTGCAAGTCCAAAATCCCCAAATGCAATGAAAATCAACATGGGACTGCAACAAAGACTAATAGGAGACATTCTATTCCTGCGACAAAACTGCAGAAAACTCCCATGGATGAAAACAAGAAACATAGCACTTCTTCCCGAGTAAACAGACGTGTTTTAGCATCTGCAGATAATCTGAATAGCACAAAGACAAAGGGGATGTCACGGGAAAGACAGAAAGGCATTCCAAGGCAGGCAAAACAAGATGAAGAAAACATTCCGGAGAAGACATTATATGTGGTTGAGGAGCACAGAGAGGACTCCACCAACCATAAACTTTCACCAGCACAGGGGGAGATTCTAGAAGGACCATTGCATAAGGACGAAGCTAGTCCAAGGAAAGTCGTTCAATACACGTTTGTAGATGGGGAGGAAGATTCTGTGAAGCTGTTATCAGGTGAAAGAATGGTTGAAAACAGGTCTGAAGTTGCAGAGAAAGACGTCAAGACTTTGATTGGTGTTTTCGAAAGCGTGATTGCTCTCCGGGATGGCACTTCGATCTTCACCAGTAATATTGAGATGGTCGGAGACAATTCACATTCTGTATAGTACATACACAAGTACAAGATGACACTTCTTCATCATCAAGCTGTTGTAAAGAAAGGTATTGTTACATAAAAAAGTGTTTCTTGACAAAGAAATGAAATCAAAGAAGAGTTTATAATTCTTGAGAACAACATTGGAGCCTTTTGATTTTTGAATTGAATGAAGAAACCATTCTCATTACAGGACACATAGCATAAGAAAATCCAAATATGGTCTAAAGCACTTATCTAACCCTGAGAATGTCTCTTTACTTTCCAAGCAACTTGCGGCCTCGCCTGTTGGCACCTCTTATTCTGAGATCGAGCGCTGCAACATCGTCCTCAAGATGATGCATTGCTTGGCTTTGCCTGAAAACACGGGAAACCATTCCGTAATAATGACTAAGTAACCACTTCCCCTAGAATAATAATAATAATAATAATAATAATAATAGTAATATTGGTTAAGAAGTGAAAAGAACCTTTCAATCTCAGAGCCCATGTCGATTGCCATGTCCTTGAGTTCCCCCAAGATATTGCTAAGATCTGAAAGGGCATCATCTTGTTTTGCCTTCTCAACCTGTTTGAGAATCAAAATAAGCTCTAACCTTCTCATATATGCTACTTCATGCATGCATCGAAAATCAGTTAACATTATGAGAACAAATTTCAAGCACACGAATTTCAAGAATGTTGTCGACAAAAAAACCATTTAATGATTCCTTAATGGCTTAATCTGCATAATTTCATCATGGAGGACAACCTCAACTTTTTGTTGTGCATTGGTTGGTTCAGAGAGTGGAGTTGGTTCGCCCGCTGGCCTCTTTGGTGCAGAACTCAGTCCCAATTTCCCCCGTCGCTCAAAGTGGTTATCCATCCTTTGAACCGGTTCATCTACAACATTATAAATAGCCAAAAGAGTTGGACATTCAAGTGCATAATCCATGTAACTTCTACACCCAAAAGCAACCAATCTTGCCCTGCCTTTACAATCACATTTGCTCACATAACATTTAGCTCACCTCTTGTAGTCACAGGGCCTGAAATCGGACGAGTCTTTTTTGGCTTCCACTTCCTTGAAAATATCCCTCCAAGACTCCCCAAAAGCTTTTCACCCTGAAAGTTCCCCAATAGTGAAAATCACACATTTTACCCATAAAAGACACAAAGAAAGCACCTTTTTTATCAAAGCATACCCTGCTAAGATCATGGTCAATGCCAACAGCAGTCACATGGGTCTTGCTAATTTGCTCGCCCTGGTGATGTAAGGCGACCAAAGTCCTAGTGGCATTCTCCCTTATGTCTTCTGCAATCTTTAAACAACCATTGATTGATTTGGTTACCTTCTCGGATTCGTAGACTGCATGATTTTCCAATTCTTCTACAGACTGACTCTCTAATCCTCCTAAACAAGTTCTTGACTGCCCAGGATTCTGCTTCTCATTTTGTTCATCGTCAGAATCAAAAGGATTTGAAGACATAAATGGGCTTTTAGCATTTATACGAAAAGGGATTTTCTTGACATCATACATTTTTGAGTTTCAAGGAGTGCAGGATCAGATTGGTCCGTCACTATCAGAAAGAGCTGCGGCAAAAGATTTAAAATTTTCAAAGACTTCAGAAAGATTTATAGTAAAAACAAATATGCCAGAAAGATTGATTTTTTAAAAAGCTGGAGTGAAAAAACGGGAAAGGGAAAAGTTAAGAAGGAAAAAAAAGAATCTTCAAAACCATTCCTCGGTGGGTGAAATCCAAGAAACCAAAAATGTTGATTTTTTTATGAACCCAGAAAAGAACTGTGTTCAAAGATTTCTCCATATTAATTAAATTAATTGTACGAGAAATTCGGAAGAAGGTAATTTATGGGCTACTCTCTCAACAATCTGAAATAATCTAGAAAGGGTGTTTGGTACGACCGTTTCTTTGTTAGAACAAAAAATAAAGTAAAGAAAGAACATAAAGATGATTTGGCATTTGGGGAGATCGTTTCTAAATTACTCCACCTGTAAACTTATGAGTCAAGAAGTTCCCTTAATAACGGATTTGATAAGAATAAATTTGGCTAAAAAATTAGTAATGTCTTGAAATTGCTGAATTCGCGGTTTATAAAGTTGTTGATTTAATTGAACTATGAAAAATAATATTCAAAATTTAATTTTTTAATCAATCTAAAGAATATGTGTGTATGAGACTAAAACGAATCTTTCTCAACTTCAATCTCCATTAAAAATAAAAAATACAAAGTAAAAAGTCTTTAAAAGTTATTGAAAATACTATTCTTTTCCTTTCAAAATACACACACATTATTATTATGTTTCGAACCATACAATTATCACTTTTATCACTTTAACATTTTTTTAAAACTATGTATCCAATCAAAATGGACTTTTATTGGCTTCGAGAAGGAAGAACTACAACATACCCACCAAAAGCTCACAAAATTAATTTTTTTTAATCAATATAAAGAATATGTAGGGACAACTAAAAGGATGATCTTTTAGTTTTTGATACATTTCATTATTGACCAAAGCATCTAGTTTTTGATACATAAGATAAAGTTGATGAATCAAATACAACAAAAGCATACATTTTTCTCAAAACTGGCATTTAATATTAGTAATACAAGCACTCCCTTGGGTTGAAGGTGGCTGACCAGTAAGACAAGATTCCTCTAGTATTTTTCACTCTTCAGGGGCATATCCGGAAACGGTGATAGCTTTTCCAATATCCTCTTTATTGACGAAGGACTTGTTCCGTTCTTCTTCAAGCTTCATTATATGCACCAAAAACATCATCAAATATAGAACACGTATCCGAATTGGCACACCTTTGGTAAGAATGGAAAAAGATTGATACCTGAGCCTCCAGCTTTGAGATTCTCTGCAAAGACAACTGTTCTATGCACGCACGCCGTTTTTGCTCTTCTTCAAGCAAGCCAGTCATATGGTATCTTAACTCTGCCATTTCCTGAGCTAAATCATCTGCTTCTTCTTTCCCCTTTAACCTTTCCAATTTCAGGTCCTCCTGCGTCCATCCATTTTATGACTTAAAATGCAGTACAAATTTTAGTAGTAAATACAATAAAGAGCTGATCCAACAACGTAGTAACGTACCTTAAGCTTCTCCACAAGAGATTTGTAGTTTTGTATTTCGTTAGACTGTGTGTTTGTTTCGTCCTTGAAATTGACACCGGATGCCCCTAGAATAGTGAGTTTGGTAAGGAGAGGACCCAAAATGTCTCCACATGAGCTTTGGTTGGTTGGAAGGATGAAAAGAATCAAAGTGAGTTTGGTAAGCACACATAGTGACACTAACAACTAGACCCAGAGCATTGAAAAAGAACCCTCACTCCAAAGAGTCTCAATATACACTATGGGTCCGTTTGGTATATGGAATTGACGGAATTGGAATTGAAATTCTATTGGATTCAATTCCATAGAATTGAATTCTACCAATTCCTATTCATTTTTTGCACTATGAATTCCAAATTCACATAATTTTTGTGCTACCAAACATCAGAATCGGAATTGAAGTCTTCAATTCCAATTCTATAATTTGAATTCCCTATACCAAACGGAGCCTATATGTATAAGTCTTTTTACAGTGACTAATTTGCATCATTGGATAACATGGAAGTCATTGAGGTTTAAATTCAAATAAGATTTTCATATCTCATACTCTGGGTTTTACGTTCTTTTTATATGGTCATGTAAGTTGAAAAAAATATACCTCACATTGTTGTATGGTACGGCTTCATGCCCAGTAACTATCCATTCCGGACATTGCTCTTCCACAATTTGGCAAAATACTTTAACATTGTTTTCACAGTTTTGAAGTTGTTCCTTTAGAATAGCATTCTCCCTTTCTAAATGTTCAATATAGCCCTCGGCATCCCGGGCGTAAAGCTCGGTATCATGAAACAATGCATTCTCTTGAGATTTTTTTAAATCAATAATTTGCTGCTCCAGTGTTGTCATATCAAGCTTTAGGCTCTCAATTTCACATTGATATTCTAATCCCACGGATGAAATAGACTCCTCGAGTTTCTCTATTAACAAAGTTGAACTCTGAAGCTCTAACTCCTTGTTTTCCAATTCCTCCTTTAATCGTCCCGTTTCTTCCTCTAAAATTTCCTTATCTTTGAGTTTTAACTGAAGACAACAAACTTCCTCCCCAAGCATATTCAATTCTGAGTTGCTTAAGGCGAGCTGATCCTGCAGGTAATCTATTGGAAGAGTTTTGTTCGAAATGTTAGTCTCAACCTAATCGAAAGGCGACCCAAAAAAAATTATCTTTTTACATGACAAGGAAAACTGATCATGCAGTCTTTATACATAAGAACACCATGAAATCTTTTTAATGTGGAATGCTTCAATTTCATTTTTTTAGAAAAAACATGGAATATACCATAGCTTTTCCATAAACAAAGCAAGTGATTTCATGCTTTGTTTCATTATTGGTTATAGATCCAATACCTATTTCTTGTGAGCAGTTATCCAATTCCCTTTCCAACTCCTGGATCCGTTTCCTGTCCTCTAAGTGGGCACAAGTTAATGTTTGTACATGCTCTTCTAATTTCTGAGAGGAAGGAAATTTCACGTGAGATACTTTTAACAAGAAATATAATATCTATGGGTTTATGGTCATTTCAGCAACGAAAGTCATTTACAAAGAGTACAAAATGATTATTAATAAACATAAGAGACAAGTTACATGTTTCACCCCCCCNCCCCCCCCCCCCCCCACCCCAGCCACCGACCGCAATGATGCAGTGTGGATCCTTTCACATCCAATCGATCAAAGGTATACCATATAAATCAACTGGGTTTCTAAAACCAGCCATGTCTAGAAAAATCATCTCTGCAAAGTCAAAATTACAGAAGACAAGAAGATAGGAAGAACTTACTCTGATAAGCTCTAAGCTCTGCTTTTGTGAGTCCCTCAATGATTCCCTTTCCTTCCTGAGCTACATGATATGTTTTTTTGAAGTGTATTAGTACACAAGCTGGAAAAAATAAATTGGACACGTGCAATGTAAAACACCATATGTTAAACGCGGCATATGAAAATTGTGTGTTTCTAGACGCGTGTGGGTGATTAACTGATACTCCCTCCATCAAGATTTAGTTGTCCACTTTCGTCTTTTTGTTTGTCAGTAATTAACTTGTCCACTTTCCATATTCAATAAAGAAATTATGATGAACTCTCTAACATATACGTCAAGAGATAGGGTGTGAACAATGCAGTGGTCAACATTGTTGACATGAACGAGTGATAAACAATTTGAAGGACTTAGTATTTGACATTCTAAACTTATTTCTTAAAAACGACATTTTTAGAAAGTACACAACCAAATCCAGACTGAGGGAGTAAGACATATTAACGAGCATATTTTGGGGATAGCCTACCCCAAACTAAGCTTATTCAAACACAACGATAGATGAGATTTTAGGAGTAAATTAGTGGAAACCACTTTTCCAAGAAGCTTCAACGGTAGATCTTTAGAAACTTTTCAAGCAATTGCAAACCAGATTGCCCCGATAAATTTAGCAAAAGCCAAAACCTGTATGAACAAATTCAAAGTTGAATAATGTACCTCTCTGCATCTTGTCCTTATCTCTAACAATTCCTTTATGTCAAAAGTGCGGTCACCATTGCTACTCGTGGACTGCTCAGACATCTAAACACAATCCAAAATTGAAGAAGAAACATACACACATTAAGGGATAGATATATCCAAGAAAAATTGCAGAAACATGATTTGGTCACTCTAAAACAAAGGGGAAATGCTAAAAACTAATGCATTTGAAATTAAGCCCACTAAAGGCTGCATCTTTGCAGAAAAACCTAAATTCAATAACAGCTAAACTCAAACTTTTGATTACAAAAATAGCATAAAAAGTGACAGGGGAGAACATGCCGCTTCTTAGGGTTTCAACCTTTTTCAAATGTCCCTCCTCGCTCTCTCTACCCAAGTTGGTCAAACGAGATTAGAAGAACTGCGTTCGGGAAAATGCTCCATGCCAATCAGAACCCGACCCGAATCTGGTAGCCCATTACAGAGTATAAACGTACCAAATACTCCGGGTGTGGAAGGGGGTTATTCAATAGTTGCAGCTCATCCACAAGAAAAGAATAAATTTCTATAAACCCCTTGCGGCGTCGTTGTAGACGAGGGATGGATTGATCGATGCTAATAAAGTTAGATACTGTTTGGAGCACAGCTGCGCAGGTGAGTGACTAAAGTGAGCCCAAATTCATAGGGAAGATCCAAAGATTATTTTTTTATTCTTTTTAAAAATTGGTTCTTTATATTATTTCTCTTTCTAGTCAAATTCATATTAATTTAAAATTATCGTTTTTAAAAACTATAATAAGTTTTGAGCTTTACGCTATTTTTGGTTCAAGGAATTTGAAAAGAAAATAAAGATAAATATTAGCTTTCCCTCTTTTTAGTAATATTTGTCTTCTCATTTTTTTTCTTTCTCCTTTTTTTTCTTTTTCTCTCTAACAAAATAAGAAAAATTATTTTTTCATCTTAATTTCTTTTCTTTTTCCTTTCAAATTCCTTGAACCAAACATAGTGTTAAAATTACTAAGAGATTTTCTGCGAATCAAATTACCCCTTTTTTCACTAGAAAAAAATGGTATTTTGTCTTATCCCGTTGAGTGGTTTGTTTGTTTACTTTCTTTTCTTGTTAAATGTGTTGCTGGTAATGATTTAATGAATTCATTTTTTATTGCAATAAATAACCATGATGAGTAAAATTAGAAGTTAAATAAGTGGCCAAAGTTGTACTCCCTTCAAGATTTAGATGCTCTAGTGCTGATTAATAATTGATTCTTGTTTCATTCTTTACATTGAATTTCTTATTTTCTCTCATTCACCATATCATTTCATCACTAAACCAAAAGTGAATTCATCACTGCACTCACCCATGAACCACTTGAGTCACCTATGAAGTGTGTGAAATTTGTTAGTCATATTTCTATGGAGGTGACTAAACCATCCAAGCTCACTTCTCCTCTCTTCTTTTTCAACAATCCAAGCTCATGTCTATGATCTTTCTGACTTCACTACCAAATATCATGATTTTCCCTTTGCTGCCAAGATAAAGCAATTACATCATACTAAAAGTAAAGTTAAATCCATCCCCTTCAAGTCTAGTTCATCCTGGACCTTATGAAGTGTCAATAACAATTAAATTACAACAAAAAAAAAGAGGAAAAATTCAAGAAAATCACTTCCTAATTTGCCAAGACCATATTTTTTTTCTGTTGAAGTACCCAAACATTACTTCTTAAAACCAATTATTGTACAGAAGTTGGAACCAACAAATTGTTGCTCAGGAGCTTCATGAAGACTTAGAAAGAAGTAGGACCCACAATCTGTTCATGGCTGTAGTTTCTACCCATCATCAACCATGCTTGGAACCCAATGATCTGTTGCCTTTCCCTATCTTCTTCTTCTTCTTCTTCTTCAACTGGAGCAGGAAAGTTGAGATCAAGAAAATCTCTGGTCTCTGGTTTTTGCGTCTCGGGCTGTTGTTGCATATCCGTTTTCGTAGCCCCAACTTTGAAATGGGATCTCTTGTGACCTCCCAACGCTTGGCCCGATCCGAAGATCTTGAAACAAATCGGGCATTCGTGACGATCATCATCCGCCTTCATCTTCTTTGAACTCTCAACCTTCTCTGACATTGCTTGGCTTGGAGGGGCAAAACCGTCATTGTTGTAATTCTTCTTGTGGCTTGCTCTGTGCCCGCCGAGTGCTTGGTATGAGTGGAAAGCCTTGCTGCAGGTGGAACACTGGAATTTCGTTTCATTTGTTGTTGGAATTTCAGAGCCTCTTGGTTTCTGCTTCTTCAATTGACTCCCAAGAACCTCAGGATTATTGTCATTGTTAGAAAGCATGATCAAGCTCATAGCGACCTCTTCTTGATCATAATCACTGTTAGCAGAAGTTAAGGTAGAGGAATTGTTATCAACCTCGTACCTCGTCATCATCATGGCTCGTCTCCTCGATCTCTTCTTTCTCTTTGGAAAACCTGCGAATCCCTTCGCTGTTCTTTGGGAATGGCATTTCATGTGGCCAAACAGAGCCTTCCAAGACTCGAACTTTTTCCCGCATTCCTTGCAGAGCTTCCTCTGAAGAAGCAAAGCATCTTCTTCGTGTTTTTCTTCAGCATTTGACTCTGCAGCTGCAACCTCGAAACTCTTATTCAGATTCTCTCTGATGAGGACATGGCTTTGAGTTGTTTCGCCGGATTCCGGCGGGTTGGGGATAAGGTGATTATGAGACCTCGTGTGACCCCCCAAGGAGAAGTAACGGTTCATCTTCATCAGAACCGTTTCTTGATCTTCTTGTTCCATCATCTGCGTCTGAAATTCGAGTCCGAATTGGGTGAAATCGGATGAAAAAAATCAGAAATCTGCTCTGGGTGATCAGCAAAATCGAATCTTGATCGATGAACAGATCAAAGATTGGTTTGCTGAGAGCAAGATCTAATACTACTGGTTAGCAGCTTAGTGGTAGCACAAGGGTAGTTGAAGCTTGAAGAAAGACTTAACTCTCTCTCTCTCTCTCTCTACAATGGTGATGACATCACTTTCTCTCTCTAATTCCCGCACTGATTTGGTGGAGAAATCCATGCATAGAAGCAAAGATAAGAAGAAGAAAGAAAATAAAGAAAGAAAGAAATAAATAAAGAAAGAAATTAAAGAAAGAAATAAAGAAAGAAAGAAAGAAAGAAAGAAAGAGAAGAAGTGAAAGGGAAGTTAGGGGGGACGTAGGACGTGTAGTGATCATATCCCATCCAACGGCTCAGATTTACCCGCCATATTTAGGGGTATTGTTGGCGCTTAATGCTCCTTCCGTCCCAGATTAAACTTCTCGTATAAGAATAAATTATACTCCGTATTATTCTATTGAGATTTACCACGTGCAAGTTTGGATATTTTAAAAAAAAACAGAAGAAAATAAGATGTTTAGTTTGATATGCATACTGGCATAAGAATATTATTTTCCTCTAAAATTTATAATACTTTCATTCCAAAAAAAACTTAAATTATTCTTTTCATTTTCTCTCCTCTTAGTACATTTTGTCTTTGGTTTCTCTTTTCTTAGTATATTTTGTCTTTTCATTTTCTTTTCTTTCTACTTTTTTTCTCTCTAACCAAATATGAAAAATTATTTTTCCTCTGATTTTCTTTTCTTTTCCCTTTAAAATTCGTTGAACCAAACATAATGTAAGAGTTTGAGAATAATTTGTGATACAAAGTATTTAGTTATGGAGAATAATTTATACTTCTTATTTAACATATTAATTTAGTTCATTTTAAAATATATTTTTGATATATTAAAGTTTGATACAGAATAATATTTATTTATGTACAAATATAATTATTCATGGTCAAAGTGTCAGACTGATGAACATTAAAGGTTAATTTAAACAAAATTTGAGATGGAGAGAGTAATTCTTTAAAAAAAAATACAATTAAAATTTGTCTAATGAAATAGAAAATTTTGTTAATCAAAAGTTAGAACTTCCTTTATAGAAAGTAAAAAGTTGTAAATTTTATTTGCTAGCATTTTGAAAAGAAAAAAATATATAAATTTTCTTTTAAGAAGAAATTAAGGTTATTGTTAGCTTAGTAAAAAAAAACTTTGCTTTTTAATTGCTCTCTTTGTGATAAGATATTTAATTGCGCTATTCCTTACTTTGTCTTGTTATTATAATTAATTAATGTATGAAAAGAGGAAAGCCGTTTTATTCTTTCCATATCTAATGTATTTTCATTCTTACTTCTTACGGAGTATATTTGATCCAAGGGTTCATCCCCCCCCCCAATTAAGTGTCTTTTTCACCAGTAAAAACACTTTTTTAAGAAAAAATTACAAAAGTTTTGCTACATG